ACCTAATTGCGCAATATCCTCGCTTAACCTGGAATACTTAAGCTAAGTCTACTCTAAGTCTGTCAAACAAACAGCTATCCAAATATTTGAACTTCATACAGGACGTTTGAGGTCGATTGAAGAGCTTAAATTCTTAGTTGTGTTCTTCCACTGTTGAACTTACAAACTAAACATATAATAATTGTAAGCACAGGTATAACTGTGCAGAGTTGCATTTGAAAATGAAATAATTGGTTCAAGTAGGTGAATTGTGAAAATAAAATTATTGAAATTATGTATTAGTGTAGTGAATTGTGTTTTGAGGATGTAGAGGAATTTTTTAGAATTTTTAAATAAATTTAATGAAAAGTGTTATCATTCAGGAGCTATATTTGTTCTGAAAGTAATTATATTTCTGATTCTATGGAATTATTATAGTATCATGTTCTTAGGTTCCTACATTCAATATTTTCAAATTCTCAGATTTTTAAATTTCCACATTTCTAAGTTTATAAATTCACAAACTGACAAAATTTGAAATTCTTAAATCTCTATATACACAAATTTTTAAGTACACTAATTCTTAAATTTTCTGATTCTAAAATTCCTACATTTTTGAATCTCTAAATTCCCAGATTTCCACACTCTCAAACCTAACCTACAAATTCTCAAATTTTCACATTTCTACATTTCCAAATTTCCAGAGTCCCAGATGTCTACGTTCCCAAATCCTCAAAACCCCACAATTTCAAATCCCTAAATTCATATATTCACATCTTGAAATTCTCCAATCTCCAAATTTTCAAATTCTTAAATCCTCAAAATCCAAAACTTTCAAACTCTCAAGCTTTCTCATCTCCAAAATCCCAACTTCCAAATTTGCAGAATTTCTTGCCCTGCAAAATTCGAAACTTCCAAATTTTCACCGGGAAAGTTAAAATGAAACATAACCTTATCCAAGCGTAATTCTTGTGTACTTATTTTAACCGGTTTCATTTAAATTGAAATCTTTTTAATTAAATCACTCACTTCCGAGTTGGTAAATTTGTATGAATATAAGCGTGCATAATTAAACATAATTCGTTAAAACTTTATTTTGTCCACTAATTTAGTTGCTCAAGAATTCGCATTAATTATACCGCTTCCTCTTCCTCGATTTTTGGTCTTGTACCTTGAAACGGGGTAGCCTGCTGTGTTTAAGTACATTTGAATTTATTTAAATAAAAATTATACTACAGCGCCATTCGCTTTCTCTATTCTCTTAATTTCTTTCCCTCTTTCATCCCGGTCTCTATTTAAATTTCATACCGGCCACGCGTGTTCCGAGCGAATGCATAAACACTGTTCAGGTAAAAAAATCTGTTCAATGCAGTTGCGCAAATTGTTTCGAAAGCAAAGTTGTGAATTGTTCCAATTGCTTTGAAACAGAGCAAAGTCGAAACTTTTTAAATTAAAACTACGTTGGTACCAAAGATTTCATGATGCACCGATGTGTAAGTTCATCCTTAATGCTTTTAAAAGCATCGTTTATTTCTGTTTTGTAACCTAGTTACTTAAGTACAGCGTGCAATTATCACGGTAAGATTAACAGGATAATTGTATTTCCATGTGACATTTGTTTGTAACCGGAAACAGAAGTGTAATAGGGGTTGATGAGTTGTTCAGGGTTTGTTAAAGAAAATACTAAATATTTTTTTAACAGAAATTTTAACAGAAAACAGAATTTTTTTTACAAAAATTGTATTTGTTGAAACATTATAATAAACAGGTTGAGGTACGTTTTGAATTATACTAGGTTAAAATTATATTACTGGTAGCTCATATTACTTTAATTATATTAGGTCTAAATAATATTATATTGGGTTTGAATTGTGTTAGGTCTAAATTATACTGAGTTTAAATTATATTATATTAGGTCTGAATGATATTATGTTGAGTCTGGATTATATTATATTAGGTCTGAATGATATTATGTTAGGTCTGAATTATATTATATTAGGTTTACGTATTAGATGTCGAAGATTACATATGATTCATAATTTTAGCACTGGTCTTTAGTCCGCGTAGACAAACTTCGATGAACAATAAATTTGCAAAAATGTGTCAATTTCTGATATACAATTTAAATACAAATTCAACAATTTGTGTCAATTTGGATGCTGCAGAAACAGCTTACATAGTAGAATTTTAACTCTCCGATCTGTCAGTTTAGTCTGCAGAACACGATTTTCGAGATATATCGTCAAATGTGTTTTTTACTTTAGTCGTGTTATTCTTATGCTACATTTCTTCGATTTTTGACGACGTATCAACATGTGTTTAATATGCAAACAGATGATCATATGAAAATTTTATCAAAACCAGAATGACATAATGTTCTGACTGTTTCAGTAAATATAATTTAATTAGATAGTATAGTATAGGAAACGAAGAAGCAATATTATTAACAATTAATTAGTTATAAAAAAAACAGGGATATGAATGAAACTATTTTAGAATTATTACTAGGTATACATCTGGATTAAACGTACATTAAAATGATTAGGTACCCATATAAATAAAATGTGTTTCAAGATTATTATTAGAAATACATTTTGATTAAACATTCATCAAAATTATTATTTGAGATTCATCTGAATGAATCAATCGATGCAATTGTTGTTAAATATACATTTGGAGCAACCATTCATCAATATTATTATTAGGAAGACATTTTGATTAACGATTCATCGAAATTATTATTAGGTATCTATCTAGATTAGTCATTCGTGAAAATCATTATTAGACATCGAACCAAATCAATCAATCGTGAGGATCTTTATTAAATATTCATCTAAATTAAACATTCATCAAGCTTATTATTCGATAACCACACAAAAGTTATGATAAAATATAAATGTATAGTTTCTTCATATATTACTGTAATATTATATTAAAAATAATCGATTGCCTATTGTTTAGATCCACGTTCACCAGCAGAAAATAATTAAATGTTTTCGAGCATGTCGTACTTTTCAGTTTTATCGAATGTCGATAAAAAATTGCGAGTAAATTTCCCCGAGTAAAAATTTCATGATACTGCCAATTTCTTTCGCACAAACGACTTTCCACTGTAGCAATTCACGATTACTCAATCGCGAATTAACGAAATTTGCTTACGCTCCAGTTTTTCGGCCACAACGTTCGTTGATTGCTCATGCGAGAACTGTAGCTTTTTGTTCTACAGATGCCGCTATACGAGCTAAAAGTTATTAAATAGAATCGATTCTTACGGGAGCACTGTTCAAAATTCGGGTCAACGATTTCCCTCCAATTTCGCATAGACATAATGTATGTGTGCAGTTAGCAGATATCTTAAACAATATCTGATAATAAGGAGAGTACCAATCGGACCATGAAAATTATTAATTTCTAACGGCCCAACGATCTGAATATAGCACAATTTTAGATTTAATTTTCTTTCGATCGTATTAAGCTCGATTGTTCGTTCAATTGAATATTCGACTACGGATTTTTCCTCGCCATCATTTTTTTCTCATGTAATACAAGTTTAAACAAGTACACTACTGGAACGATTTATTAACGAACTCTCATCGATCCTGCTAATTATGTACACGGAATTGCGGTCTGATTTATTTCGAATTTTTTTCAACTTCTGTCAAACTTCTCTTTAAATATTTACTGTGCTTCTATTTCTGTAATATTTATAGTGGAATCATTAATTTACAATTAATATGTAAATACATAATGTATAAACGTTAATGTGTAACGATGCTAAAAGTTAATACTGTTTTTATAAAAAGATGAGACGTTTTGTATGTTATTTCTATTTTGGTGTACCCTAGATACATCTCATTCGAAAAATCGTGTTTCATAATCAAGCGTTCAGCAAATATTCGTGATTGATTTTCTTGAAAACAATACCCTTCGAAGATGAAATTTTATACCACATTTTCAAATTGCCTTTGCATGAAGAATTACCCCTTTTACGTTAATTGTCGAAGCTCGCTTTCCAAGCCACCTGCACTTGACGTTTAGAGTCACCGCATGATAAATTATCACTCATCACTTCAATGCATGAAAAATGAATAAAATTTTTGTCCTACCTATTTTATTTTTTAAGAAAGTTTTTAGTGATTTACTACAAAAATAAATATAAACATAATCAGAAGCAAACTGTTAGTATTACTCGCTGCATACTGTGAATGAAATTTTTTGGTTAACAGTTCATTAATATATCTACAATCGTTTTAAAAAAATATATCAAATATATGTTTGCTAAAATGTATATTAAAATTATAATATATTTCAGTATGTATCTGATAAAAATATTACAATATATTTCAGTATATATTTCATCAAAATATTGAAATGTATTTTAGTATATTTTGTAACCAGATATTAGTACGTATTTTATAATAATGTAAATTTGGCAGAATAAAAAGTAAGGAGCTGTAATAATAGCTTTTTATGAAAAGTGATAATGGATTTTATACGTATATTAAACACAATACAATCACAAAATGGCATTACTAAATTTACAGAGTCATATTCAGGATTAAATTTGTTGCAATATATTCCTTATTAAATTTGCAGGAATTCATTCATTATGAAATTTGCAGGAGCATGTTCATTATTAGATTTACAATAAAACACAGTTCTGCTCTAGTGTTTTTCAGAAAATAATTTATTTTTCAATAAATGTCTCAACTTCACATATGCGGACTTCACCTACGTGGACTTCACATTTGCATATGTCGCTTTATTCTGCGTTTCATTTCGCATTTTCAGATTTTATGCATAATTTCTTTTTCCTCGCATTATTTTTCTTTGACTCCTCTTTTTATTCATTAATTGGTTAAAAAAAAAAATTGTCAAATATTAACATCGGCAATTCAAAAAATAGTTTAAGAAACAGATTGTGTGAAGTGCTATCAAAACAAATGAGTCGACATTCAATCCTGGGTTGTGTATAATTTCATTGAGCATACAGTAAGCACTATTTTTAATAATAAATTTACCTTGTACGTAGACAGGTTTGCAACCACACAAGCAAGAACCGCTTCCCGCCCCATTGGGACTGTTACATTTGTTATTGGCACAGTGAAACTCGGTCCCTCTGAAACACAAGAATATTTTGTACAATACAAAATATTCCAAAATAAATAACTGATCTTTAGAAAACAACGAACAAAAATAAATTTAAACAATACTTTATTTCTACAACTCATAAATTCTAGCAAATATTTAAGATCCGTACGTATCGAATTTACTTTACGTACCATTAACAAATAAATTATTCAGTGTTTGCCTTCAAGAAAATTGTTACATATTTACAGAAGATTTGAGTCGTTTACGTTGATTTCGAGGGAGGATCTTTGTGTATTTTATTCTTGTGTTAAAGTTCATACATGGGATCTTTATTAATTTTTATTGTAATACATTGCGAAAAGTACGTAATTTCGGTTGAATGATTGAACATATCGGTTCAGCGATAAACAAGATTTTTTAGATCACGGAATTTTTATTGAAACGTTTGTATCGATTCGTGGAAATTCAATAAAAGCACACGAAAAGTTTGAAGGCGACACGTTGTTTCTACAACAAACTCGTCTCGTTTCACGTACCCTAAGTAACTCATTCTCCACATTCTGCTGCATCGACATACAGCAGAGAATTTACTGACACGAAACAGTTTGCTTTTGTCCGACATATCGCGCGCGACAGACTGCAGACGCATGCAATACAAGCACCTGCACTCTGAAATGTATATCAAACTAAACACAGTTTCAGTGTTAGCAAATTGCATTCCATTCCCTGGGTGTAAAATGGCAAAACTTCTAACCGTAGCCGCTAAAATCGGATTAAAACTCAAAAGTAAATCAAATATTGCTGGTAACGTGGATGCCAAAGTAACAGTTAAGTTAGTTATTTTCACATGGTGGATCTTGCGATGCACTCTTGTAAAATTGGTGCGATGGAAAAAAATAATTCGTGCGACGATAACTCGAAATTATATAATAAATATTTTTAACACGATCCTCGTATTTATCGTTGTTCCAATTCATCAATTGAATATCGCTTTCCGATATCAGTTAACGTTCGTTCTATCGTTTATTTTATAATCGCAAATTTGTCAATTATTTGCTGTCTAAATAAATTACTTTTCGAGATTTTTTTATAAATACGAAGTACAGTGTGATTTTACACATCGTTGTTTTATTGCTAAAAGAATGTTTTCTTTCTTCGAGATGCACTCTTGAAAAGTTTCAGACTTTTTAAAATTTATGTTACGAAGTTTTCTTGTAGGTAAAGGATATTTTTGGAGTATGCAACGTAAGCAACGATGTACTGGAAGGACGTGTAAACAAAAGTCAGAAAATGGAGGTAAAGGGAACCTGGCCGCAAAAATGGAGAAATCCCGCAACATCGTGGTAACCTAACCACTAGGACCTGAAACCCACATGCTTCTTTTGTTTGCAGCCTTAGAGTGGTTAGGTTCGAGATTTTAGGTAGTGAAAGTTTAAGTTAAAGTGGAGCTTCGTTTCTGTCCGCTTTACTTAAGGAATATGCATTTTATTATTAGTCCTCAATTATCGCAGGGTCAGTAAGGGGTTTAATGCAGATTATACATGTGTGCGCACAGAAAAGGACAATTTTAACTTAACTAAATTAACTTTCCTAATTTACAAATTTCAATGATTTTGTTTCATGGAATTCATTTGTAATAGTAAAAATTTTTTGTGATAACAGAGAATTAAATTTTTAAATAATTGTATTAATATTTATAATTAAACGAAGTTAGTTAATCAGCCATAATCAGAAAATGGTATCTCACAAAGAGACACAATATTTGATGCACTGATTTCGTTCAAAGTGAATAAAACTTAAATCGTTTAACTAAAATTTAAAATCATTACAGTGAATGTTAAAGTACACAATATTTTAGAAATTTAATTTTATGTACTCCAATACTGATTTACGTAGGATGCGTCAAAAAATTATTAAAAAAATTTAATAAAACAAATCTCAAAATATACATAAACAATATTTCAAAAGTTACCCCAATACAACAACAAAATTATTAAAAAAGTTTAATAAAAAAATGGAAAGTTCAGTCGTTTAAAAATGTCCTGCATCGCAACGTTTTTAAGAGTTGACTTAATTGCTGTGACGGTTGATTCCTCGAAGTGAAATTAGACAGTAAAAAAGTTAAATTACTTTCGTTTCACTTTCTAAGGAAGCTGGCAGTTTTGAATCAGTCTGTAGGAGGGTTTAAGTGGGTATATACGAATTGCAGGAAGGCGTTGGAGAGGCAAAGAGGGAGGAATGTTGGCAAGGGGTCTGAAACTCGGTGTGAGCCAACAGATAAGCACTGATCCCAATTACACGTTGGGTAGACCGGTTTCCAGGCAGAACGGATCATGGAATATTGACTCCATCTTGATTACTTGGCTCCCATCAATACAATTGAGTGATCGATATACCTTGAATTTCCTCTACTTGACTTGTACGCGTATCATGTTACGTTCGTGCACACGAAAGATTGCCTCGTTTTATTTTGTATCTCGGTCGATTGACATTTCAAATATTTCGAAGGCAAATATGTGTTATTCTATCAACACCTGGATGTTCTTTTTCATAATGAAATTACGCACACGGTTCTATTTTTTATTTTAACGAATATTTGGAAAGAGAATCAATTATATTTGCAAGTTTCAAAATATGAGCACATCGTGAATAATAATGTGAGCAAATTGTGTTTGAAGTTTATGGGAAGATCACTTTTTGATATTTATTGAAATTTTGCATTAAATTCGATATAAATATTTATATTTATCTTGTGATGCTTCCGTGTACATAGCAATCTAATTACGCCACTGTTAAATAATGTAATTCAGTTTACTGTGTGCATAATTAGCAAATTGCTATCCGATTTGGAAAATCTCCTGTTATTATGCAACCGATAATTTACAACGTTGCATAATAATAAGAGTGTATTTATCGCTAATAGTACCGCAGCATGTTTTATTTATTGTCACAGTATCATACAATTTTTTACTATTTTGTATCACAGTGAAATTAGTTAGTGCAAAAATACGTAAGCATAGAAACTACAGGAAATCGTAATTATTTACATTTCTTGTTAATTTCAGTCATTACTGTAATTATTATTTTAGTCATTTTAATTAATTTCTACTTCTGTTCAACTTTTTACCTGAAGAAGTCCTTTTTCTCATCTTAACACAAACGTATAAACTTATGTATAATTTTAATTTTGTACGTTTACATTAAAAAATTCTTCTGTTGCCTCCAAAAATAACATACGATAAATTTACATACGTAAATGTACAAAGTTTCATTTATAGAATCCAATTTATTAAACGATTGATTTATTACATGAAATATAAATGTGTAAGCTTTATCACTTGTTTCTTAGTAACCATGTTTTCATTTCATCATGATATACTATTTTTGCATAGATAAAAATACAAGATTAAATATTTATAGCTGTAAATCCATTGTGTAAGAAGATTGAACATTCAGAAGTGTAAAACTGCAGATTAGATTCGATCGGATAAGATAATGAACACGTACGCTAAATGTTAATCTTCACTTTTACCTAGTGTTCGCTCTGATTAATTAATGGCTTTCATGATTAGCGAAATCCAATTAGAAAGCTCAGCGGAATTCCGGATTACAATTTAATAAGATTTAAATTGTTTAGTACAGACCAATTTCAAGCAAAAGTCCTTGAAGTACAAATGTAATTAGAATTATATTTATTAAAATGAAGTTACTGAAGTTCAGTAACTTTATCATTTTTGATACTTCAAATTTTTACTAAACTATGGGTGTTAATGTACTTTATTGAAATTCACTTGTTTGATTGATACTAATTTATTCTCCTGCGTTTCATTAATTATTTTAAATTTAAATGTAGGTACATATTTAACAATTCTTTTCTAATTTCAAACAATTAAAGTTCGATAGTTGAACATAAAAGAAAAATTATAGCAAGTGCAAAAGTATGAAAAAATTAAATACAAAGAAACTGATATTTTAGAATTTCTTCTACTAAACATTTGTAGATTACACGAAGGTAAATATTAGGGTGTTGAAGATAAAAAATTATGTAAATTAAGAGAACATATTCTAGTCACGTACATAGATCCAAGCACGACAAGAGAATTAAAAATATGATTAAGGCAAACTTGGAAAAGATTCGAAAATGCATATTTTCCTTTACTATTCTTTACTATTCTTCAAATAATATTTGGTATGCACAATAACTTTCCTGAATTTTTAATGTGTTATGCAACTTTTATAAATGTTTAATATATTTATTAAATATTCCCGAAGAATTGTTTTATTTAGATTTAAGTGAAATATAAATTTGAGTTATGCATGTTCTGAATGTAAAATAACCATGGTTATTCGTTATGTTGTAAATTGTGTGCGATTGTATTGTCATTACGAAGGTAGCGATAAATTTATTTGTAGCGGAGAGCGAAGAAAGAACGAGCAGGATAACATTTGTAAATTTTTGAGAAACGATGCCTAGCTGGCGATGTCCTTGCACAGGGGCGCTTCGGCAAACCTGGGGCAGTTCAAGCCACGGTTAGGGGAGGTATATACATGGTGTGTTCCATAAGTAATGCGAAGGAAATTCCTGAGCCGCTCCTGTTGGTCGGAGGGGGATCGGACCACGTGCGTTAGATGCGGGGGACCCTTAGCTTTCCAACGAACCCGGTCCCAGGGATCTCCGAGCTGTGAAAGGGACAGGACGTTAATTTGTGTGACCCCCTCTTTGGTGACCGTGTCACGGAGAAAATGGAGTCGACGATCGGAACAACGATACGCGATAAAGCTTTTGTGCTAAACTAAACAAATCTCTTGAGGAGACAAATAAAATGATTCGTGAGGCTTATGGGGACTCTGTTCTGTGGTATTCACAAGTTTCGAGGTGGTTAAAGACCTTTAAGGAAGGGCGGGAAGAGGTTCGCGACGATCAACGCTCCGGGCGGCCACAAACCAGCAAAACAGTCCGTCAAACAGTCCATAAAGAATTTCTTCCTGAAGGA